TTGCGTCCGCACCGCGCTCAGCCAGTGAACGGGAACCGGTCTCCACATGGGATCCGAACCCACGGCGGGAGCACCGCCGCACTCCCAAGTGGCGCACTCTCCAGTGCGCCACCGGGCTGGCCCTCTGTTATGGATTTCTAATTTAGTTCCACTGTGGCCAGAGAACAAACTGTACTTTCTATGGCTTGAATCCTTTTGAACTTATCAGAGCTATTCTGTGGTTCAGAGTATGTCTGTTTTGGAAAATGTTCTACATCTACTTAAGAAGAATGTGCACTGTGCTGTCGGAGTGTTCTGTAAACATCAATTAGGTCAAGTTGGTAATTAGTGTTGTTCAAGTTTTCCATATTGTTACTGATTTCCTGTCAACTTGTTTCATCAATTGTTGAGAAGGGGTGTTGAAATCTCAAATTCCAATTGTAGATTTGTCTATTTCTCCTCTCAGTTCTGCATTTTTTACTTCAAATATTTTGTAACTCTATTATTAGGTGCATAAACACTTAGGATTGTTATATCCTCTTGATGAATTTACCCCATTTGTATTATGAAATGACCTTCTTTACCCATGGTAAAGTTCTTTGTTCTGAACACTACTTTGTAGGATATTAATGTACCCACTGCAGCTGTCTTTTTGACTATTGTTAACTTGGTATATATTTTTCCATTCTTTTCTTTTCAACATATCTGTACCTTTATATTATGGTTTCACGTAAATCTATTATCTTGCAATTTGTTCTTTTTTGGCATATCTGTATTTTCTTCCTTTTTCCTCTTTTTCCGCCTTCTCTTGGATTGAGTATTTTTTTAAATTCCATTTTACCTACTTAGTTGTCCTCTTCTGTATAACTCCTTGTGTTACTTTACTGGTTGCTTTAGCATTTATAATATACATCTTTAACTTATCACAGTCTACTTTCAAGTGATATTATAACATTATACTTTCATTTCTCCCTCTATGCATTTGTGGTATTGTTTCACATACTTTTATTTCTATCTATATTATAAACATCACAATATATTGCTATTGTTTTACTTTAAAGAGCCAGTAATTTTTTCACATGCTTACTTGCCACCTGTAGATTTTCTTTGGTAAAGTGCCCATTCATATCTTTTGGCCATTTTTAAATTGAGTTGNACGTAAATCTATTATCTTGCAATTTGTTCTTTTTTGGCATATCTGTATTTTCTTCCTTTTTTCCTCTTTTTCCGCCTTCTCTTGGATTGAGTATTTTTTTAAATTCCATTTTACCTACTTAGTTGTCCTCTTCTGTATAACTCCTTGTGCTACTTTACTGGTTGCTTTAGCATTTATAATATACATCTTTAACTTATCACAGTCTACTTTCAAGTGATATTATAACATTATACTTTCATTTCTCCCTCTATGCATTTGTGGTATTGTTTCACATACTTTTATTTCTATCTGTATTATAAACATCACAATATATTGCTATTGTTTTACTTTAAAGAGCCAGTAATTTTTTCACATGCTTACTTGCCATCTGTAGATTTTCTTTGGTAAAGTGCCCATTCATATCTTTTGGCCATTTTTAAATTGAGTTGTTTTCTTATTGTTGCGTTTTATGACTTCTTTGCATATTTTGGATACAAGTCTTTTATCAGATGTGTTTTGAAAATATTTTCTCCCAGTTTGTAGCTTGTCTTTTTATTTTCTTAACATTGTCTTTTTCAGATCAAAAGTTTTTAATTTACATCAATTCCAACTTACTTTTCTTCTCTCAAGGATTATGCATTTGGCGTTGCCCACATGGATTTTGATACTGTGTTCTAGTGCCATTTGCTGGGTTAATAATTGCAGAAGAGCTAGAAAGAAGGAAGCAAATGAACTAACAAGTTCTGTGTAGCACATGTCAGCATGGGGGGCTATGGAAGCCCTGCAGGTGGGAGTGTCTCTGAGACAGGGATGTGTAGGCCCGGGGCCCAGGGGGCAGCTCAGCAGGAAGGAGGGAGAGCACAGGGTGTGCCAGCAAGGTGGTAGTCATAGGAGCGCAGGAGTGTGCGACCAGGTGCCCCACACAGGACAGGTATGCTGCCGACTGTCTTGTGCTTCATCACTGAGTGCCTCACATGCTGTCGTATCCTCACAGACCAGATTTAGACATAGGACTATGACTCCATGAGTGTTCATAAATCTTTTTTTTTTTTTTCTTAGATACCCTTTCACCAGCTTCAAGTCCCTCATCAGTTACTTATCCTGTCGTTCCTGGAAGCATAGAGGAACCTCCCAGTGGAGCATTAAACATTGAATGTAGAATCTGTGGGGACAAAGCCTCAGGCTACCATTATGGAGTTCACGCGTGTGAAGGCTGCAAGGTACAGGGGACCCTGGAGGAGGACAAAGGTGGCCTGCATCACCAGCTGCTTGTGGTTGCTTTCATCTTATACACAAATGTCCATCGTTACTAAAAGAGATCTGCAGAAAGTCACAGATAAGAAACTGACCTCAGTGACAGATTAATTTCTCTCTTCAGAGAGTCTAGAACAGATTGCTCTACCGTGCTTTGTAAATAACTTAGAGAAGTGTGTTCCTTAACAGAAAATAAGCCACATTAAGAATGACCCTTTCATTTGAATACAAGGTAGAGAGCGTCTACCCAGTGAACCGTTCGACTCTCTCCGAGGGCCAGATGGAGCAGTGTTCTCATGTGCCCGGTGGAGCAGCTGGCCATCAGAAGCACGGACTGTCTTGCTCAGGGCTGGGCAGGTAGCTCAGGTGGTTAGAGTGCAGCCTTACAACAGAGTGTCTCGCTCAGGGCCCCAGGGTACCTGGCAGGGGGACCAGACCTGGAGCTGGCTCCTCTACCGCTACTCCTCACCCCACGCCGTTCCTTCCTGCATGTTGAGGGCCTCTGCCCCCACCCCCCCCGCCGCATGTACCTTGTGCGTGTCCTCATCCTCGTGCCAGCTCAGCCAGCCCCTGACATATGACCCAGGGTAGAGTTCATGAAGTTGGGCCTGCTTGTCCCCCCTGCTGCCAACTGGACCATTGGCCTTTTGTGATCTTCCAGCATGATGAGGAAAAGGATCCCATCCTGTTACATCCCGAAGGTCTCCTGAGGCCTGACATATGACCCAGGGTAGAGTTCATGAAGTTGGGCCTGCTTGTCCCCCCTGCTGCCAACTAGACCGTTGGCCTTTTGTGGTCTTCCAGCATGATGAGGAAAAGGATCCCATCCTGTTACATCCCGAAGGTCTCCTGAGGCACCATGTCCTTTTAGGGACATATGTACATTCTCAGGTTTGGCACTTTATGCATGTGATGTGTGGGAGATCTAGTCATCTTAGTGTTTGGGTAAAATCAGACATCCCCTTCCATTGCTCATGCTGGAAGTGTTTATTAACATTTGGAAAAGGCCGCAGCCTTTGCTGGTACGCTGCACGATCTGTGCTCTTGAAACGCTGACATCATGCCCCGAGCCCGGCCTGGCCTTGGAGGTCTGGGCCACAGGGAGAATGGGCCACTGGCCAGGGCACTGTGGCATCCTGAGGCTTAAGGCCGTCTTCTCACCCTTCCACTTATGATCGCATGCGTTCTTTGGCCATCCTGCTTTACAAACCTAGATAAAGTTATTAAGTAAAGATACGAACCTTCTCCTCACAGTCCCCTAGAGATTGCCGTTGCCTCGCACATGGGCCAGTCAAATCTACCACATCAGAAATGGGGAAGAATGCCTTAAAAGCAAAGAGAAAACAAAGAACCCAGAGGAAAAAATCAAGTTTTCTAACTGTAAACCTTTTATTAGCACCGCACTCTCCCGAGTGAGCCACGGGCCGGCCCTAACTGTAAACCTTTTAAAAAGCTCCCTGTAAAATGGCCTTATCTTTAGGGCCGTGGTTTCATTACTTTTGTTTAGTTTAGTTTTTTAATGGACTAACTGGTAAAGTTGTTTCTTGCCGAGTAAATGTTAAAATGGTTTTATAAAGCAAGAAAATTGTTTATAAAGAGCTGGCTTCCTTTTATTATAACTTTTGTCTTTCATGGAGTTAGTATGTTCAAGTTCCTAGAAAGTTTCCAGTCACAAATGCGCATGTGTCAGATGGGAGGAGGTTACATTCGGATACGTAGTGGCAGGGCTGAGGAACTCTTTGGAAAACTACAATTGTGTCTTCGTAAGTCAGATGAGGACATTTTTAAATTACTTTAAATTTTGCCTCATTTTATTGTTTTTCACCTTAAATGCAATGAAATTTAAAATGCTTTATTTGCCCTAATTATAACAGACTTTTTAGAAGAACTGTCTCTCTAAATGCAGTTCATTACAAATGGATAATAAATGGACAACATGAAAGGGGAATAAAGCAGTTACACTGATTTATTAGTGGTCCATATTCTTTAATAAACTGTACATTAATCTCACAGGGTTTCTTTCGGCGAACTATCCGATTAAAGCTGGTGTATGACAGATGTGATCGTAGCTGCAAGATTCAGAAAAAGAATCGGAATAAGTGCCAGTACTGTCGTTTTCACAAGTGCCTTTCTGTCGGGATGTCACACAACGGTGGGTAAGGTTGCCTGGCACATTTTCACAATCTGTTCCTCAGTTTGCCTTCCTTGTTCGGTTGGAACGGACTGTACTTTGAATGAACATGCTGCAACATTTAACTTCCAAATCATTTTGTAATCAGAACAGACTAAAAAAAACAAAAGTCTCAAGTAGCTGAGATTTGGCAGAGCACTTAGAATTATTGCTAGAAACTTCAAATGGCACGACTTTGATTTGAAAAATAAAAACCAACTGGAAAGCACTGAGATGACAGAGTGTTCATCTCATCCATGGGAAGTGGTGCCATTTCCAACCTCTCACCATATTATACGTTTCATTGTAGTCTATTATACTCTAATTTTAGAACATGCTAACTACGATGAATTTGAGATAAGCAGTTCATAAAGGTTGCACCTCTACCTTCTGGAAGAGGTAAGAGGTGGTATATAAACTCATTCTGAAGCTCACTTTCATCTTCCTGACGTCAAAGGTCGATTACTACCTAATCCGACTATTGAAGTGAGCAACGGTGGTACCTTTTGTTTTAACCTTTTTAGAAGTCTGGACGCTATGGAGTCTGAGTGTCGCTTTCATCCCTGCATAGCAGAGAGCTGCGCAGTAGTGAGAAATGGGCTGCAGCGTGTCGTCAGTGTCATCGGTGGTCTAAGCCCCGGTCACCAGCCCTTCCTGCACCCATGCTGCCTCCACGGCTGCTGTTCTCGTCTGTTTCACGTTGTCCCTTGTTTTCTCCAACCCCCAGCAATTCGTTTTGGAAGAATGCCAAGGTCTGAAAAAGCAAAACTGAAAGCAGAAATTCTCACCTGTGAACATGACATAGACGATTCCGAAACTGCGGATCTCAAATCCCTTGCCAAGAGGATTTACGAGGCCTACCTGAAGAACTTCAACATGAACAAGGTCAAAGCACGTGTCATCCTGGCGGGAAAGACCAGCAACAATCCAGTAGGTGCCGCTGCCGCTCAGTAGAGGCTGGAGTGTTCTGGGGGCCACACATCAACCAGCCTCAGAGAGGGCAATTGAGGAAATATGTCACTGTTGAGAAAGTAACTTTCATCCCAAAGGCAAACAGCAACCATGGAGCCAGAAATGGTTCATTCTGAGGCTCCCAAGTGTAGCTTAACAGCAGCTCCCATCCTCCCACTCGGATCCACCTCAAAGCTCTAGCAGCCAGCATACTATACTGGCTATGTAATTAGCACACCCCAAAAGTCCAGTTAACAGTTTACCAGGTACTGGGGTCGTTTCTCAAGTGCATTTTTAAAATTCCTATTTTTAAGGCCAGAAAGTGAAACTGTTCACTTCCCACTAAAAATGTGCTCTCTGATCCTCCCACCTAAAAGTGCTCCCTCCCCTCCCCCACTCCTACACACACACACACACACACACACACACACACACACACACACACACGCCTTTTTCTTCAGTGAGAAGGCAGTGACATCTCAGGGACGGGAGAGGCTCCTTTGTTTACAGAAACTTTATTGTCGCACTGGATACTTCTGAACCTTTTCAGAGGCAACCAACGTTTGCCCCTGTGGCCTCTCCTGCACTTCATCACCTGCAGACCTAACGTCCTGCTGCCCCACCCCTATAGTTAAATAAGTCTTTGAGTCCATTCCAGCAGGAACCTCAGAGCCACCTTCAAAGAGGGGGACGGCCCAACCTTAGTGGATAAAGATATTCTGCCTTTTTCCTATGAGCGTGGCAAGACAGGTTTAATTTGTGCTAATGAATAGCTTAAAGCTCTCCTTGTGGGGAATTACAAGCTAGAATGTTTAGTCACAGGAAAATAAAGTAGTTCACAAGCTACTTACTTTCATGAACAAACCACACCTCTCTTTTACTGAGTCTTTTAATTCTTCAGTGAATTGTCCAATTAAATAGGCTGAGATATTTTGGTAGTGGTCAAGCAAACGCCCACACTGGGCGGCCCAGAGGCTCGTGCCAACCGGACCCTCTCTGGGTCACAAGGGTGAAAGCAAAGGTGATCTTTCATCTTTGCATTTCTCTCCTGGAAGTGATTAGTATAGCCCCAAGCAAGGGAAGCCAAGACTTTACCTCCTGTAAAGCATCCTCCTGCCGCTCCCCACCGAGATATCCTGCAAAGCAGCTGGCCGGCCTGGGCCAGAGTGGAGGAAATCAGGACGTTTGGGGACTTGCACACACGGTCACTCTCGGACAGGAACCTATTTGTGCTGGGGTCTTAAGGAAATGAATAATAGGTTACTAGGCCGGGTCTGGGGTTCACTGTATTGGAAAAGCAGAATTCGGTATCCTGCTGAGAGTTCTACCCCCACCTCCAAGGCGGACTGCCCCAGGTACCAGCTTTAAAGATACCATCCAGCTATGTGTCACCTGTTGCACTTGACCACACTGGTAGCTCCAAGCCAGGGTCCCCCTCCACCACCCCAAGCCCTGCATCCTGTCCGCTCTGGTATGTTGGAGGTGGGCCCAGCTCTTGTCTCCCTGCCTAGCCTGCTGGCGGCCTTTCCAGGACTCGGTGCTCCAGCCCAGGGCCACCGTGTCTACTCATCCATCCAGGAGAAGGTCCGACTAGTGGGACACCCACTACTAGGCAACACTGTCTGAATCCCTGCACAGAGCTCTGGTTTTGTGGCTGCAGTGGGCATTGGAAGACTATAGTCTGTGTCTCATACACAATTTAGAAAGGAATCCCATCTTCTGGTGGAAATTCTCTTAGGGAGACCAGGCTTTGGCCCAGATGTGCTCACCTTGCTCTGTGCTCAGTGACCACCACACGATGACCTGCCGTGCAGTCCCAGCCTGGGGTGACCTGACGGCCTGCAGCCGGGCTCTGCAGAGTGTGGGGAAGGCACACCAACTTTATTTCTGTCTGGGGGTGGGAGGAGGAATAATGAATCTGTCCTAGGCTGGTAAACACGCTTCTTTGCATGATATAGGAAACATGAACTTGCATGCCGGATAAAGACACATGCTTGTGCCACTGGGGTAGGGCCAGGCTCACCTCCTTCCTCAGGGACTACTGGGGCAATGGGGGGGCATAAGCTCCCCACCTCTGACCTCTGACCAAAGCATGGCCCTGAAATGTTCGATACCTTGATGGGGAAAGCTAGGTGCTAGACAGATGTTAACTTTCAAGCAGCCTTATGCTAGAAGTTGGGGTCGAATTTATCTTTGCAGTAGTTCATTCCTTTGTTCTGTGAAGACCACCTCATGTTCTTCAGATCAGATAAAGCAAAGCCCCGTGGCTGACCTGGAAACAGGCAGGGTGCCAGGAGGACCAGGAGGGAGGACCCTGCTTGGGGTACACGGTGGCTGCAAAGATGCCATTGCTTCGGGGAAGGATGGGTTTTAGCTGTGGGGGTGGGGTGGGGGGATGGATGGAGAATGTCTGTTTCCATCTAGACACTGGGACTGGCTTGAGCCCCTGAGATTTCAGAAACGAGGGCCATTCGTGATTGGGCCAGAGCTCCTTTGGGGACTTGCTGCCCCTTGATTTGAGGGTAACCAGGACAGAAGCAGAGCCAAGTGGGAGAGGGGAGCTGTAGTGCCCTCCCAGCATGGCTTCTGGAAGAGGTGCTTTTCAGCAGTGTCCTACAAAGATACTACATGACCTGTCAGAGGTTGGGAATGTCACAAAAAGACTTTGCAGGAAGGAACACGAAAACAAGATGGAGGGGCTTCGGTGCAGTCAGCACCTTCCTTGCAATGTTTGCTTCCCTGGCCACCCGGGGCTCGGCCCCAGCACATGTGCACGTGCACACACGCTCACACGATCCACACGCTCATGCAGGCATGCGTGCTCACACACGCACTCGCTCTTGCTCAGGCTTAGCTGCTTTGGGTTTTAGAAGCTAGCTGCACCTTCTGAAAAATGGATGAGGATGTTTGCTTAAAAACAGCAAACTCTTTAGTGCTGAATATTTAGACGTTAGAAATTCAAAGTATAAGGTGGTGATAATGCAGTACCGGGCTGGCTGGTTAGCTCAGTTAGTTTGAGTGTTGGGCTGATAACACCAAGGACTAGGGTTTGATCCCTGTAATGGCCGCCCACCAGAGAATAAAGTAGGACAGCTACTCTTTAATCTAACAAGCATATCAGAACTTTATTCAGTTCAAATGAATAAAGTAATAATTGGGAGTATCATATGTTTATTTCAAAGATTCCCCTTGTATTAGTCCATTTCTGTTGCTTACAACAAAATACATGGAACTGGGTATTTTGTAAAGAACACGAAATTTATTTCTTATAGTTTCTGAGGCTGGGAAGTCCAAAGTCCAGGGAATGCATCTGGTGAAGGTTTTCTTTGGTAGTGGCTTCAGCGATGGTAGGGTATCACATTGCCAGATGGCGGAAGCAGAGAGAGAGAGTGAGAGACAGACAGACTCTTCTCTCCTCTTCTTTTAAAGTCCTCAGAACCACACCCCTGACCACCATTTTTAATCCATTCACTACTGCAGGGTCCTACAACCCAATCACCTCTTCAAGGCTCCATCTTTCAATTACAATAATAGGATTTGCCACCCTCTTAACAGTCCCGGTGGGGGCTAAGTTACTAGTACATAAAACCTGGGGAACACAATTCAAGCTCTAGTGAGTTTTAGGGGGACATAATTCAATCCACTACACCCCTATTGCTCAAAATTGTTGGGAATTATCTTTAGACTCTTTGAATGTCTTCAGTTATGGAAAATCTTTGCCCTCTGAGAATATAACTGAATTTTAGACAAAACCATGAGTTAGTTGTAGCTAGTCTGGCATACAAATTGGAATTAACAGTGAAATAAATGAGGAAACTGATGATTAGGGATTCAAGCAAAGCCCAAAGGCCAGTCAGTATTACAAATATGAAAATCAAAACATTCACATTGTGCCTTTTAAAATTTCTATAGAATATTTAACCTTTAACATACCCCTCCACCCCCATTTACCCTTCCTATTTCTTTCTGTGAATATGAGATGTAACAATTTATCTCAGTCAGGAAGAGTTCTGCTGCTCCAACTGTGGCTCTGCCCTCATGTTAGAGACTGCTTCATTTTTGGTTTCTATGGAAATGAAATTTCTGGCTTTACTGCTGGGTTTGGAAATATTGTTCTAGGGGTTGACAAGTTTCTTTTTCTTTGCAGAAATGTAAGTTGATCTGGACATTTTTTATTTTTTTATTTTTTGTCTTTTTCGTGACCGGTGAGGGGATCACAACCCTTGGTGTGGTGTCTCCCACACCGCGCTCAGCCAGCAAGCGCACCGGCCATTCCTATATAGGATCCGAACCCACGGTGGGAGCATCGCTGTGCCCCCAGTGCCGCACTCTCCTGAGTGCACCACGAGCTCGGCCCAGAGGAGACTAATTTTTGACATACAGCTGAGCACAGGTTCTAACACCAGTTTCAAGAGAGGAATCCCAACATGATTCTCAGCATTTATGAATCATTGGAATACGGGTGGCTGCCCGGGTGCCACATTCGAATGGAATTGCTGTTTTCAACGATGTTACCTTGCACCCTGTCTTGGGATTTTGTCTGCTATGTTATGATCAAATATTATACCTACTACTTGTCTTTAGATTGAAAAACATACTTAATATTTTAATACCATTTTAAAAAATATGTAGTAAAATATAACCAAGACCTCGTTAAATAATTTCATCCAAAGCAGCTCTACCAATGATTCATGTTTAATTTTTTCCTAAAACATGACAGCTGCTAACTCTTCAAGGTGGAAATAGACTTTAGAGATAAATTCTCATGAGTAATGTCATTATCACCGTAGAATGTAGGGAGGTGTGAGCCAGGCCTGCAGAAGGTCAGTTGCAGGAGCTTCCGGTCTTGGGGATGTGGGGGAAGCTAGGCAGCACTCTGCCTCATGCTGTTCGAATCTTTACAACATGCTTTATTTATTTTCAATGAAATATATTCACGTTCATATTTTAGTATTGAAATCAGATATATTCATATCTGT